TTCCTTCGTATCACTGGTCCTTTTAACAATTCAAAGGGTCAAACTTGATCCCCACTTGGCAAGAGGCAGTGGAGTACAATCAAAAGGGCAAAGCCTTTCTTCTCTGACATGAAGCCCTAAGAAGAATATAATCATGAGGAGACAAATGCAAATTGAGGGATATTCTCCAAAACAACTGGCCTGGTCTCTTACAAAATGTCAATGTTACTAAAGAGGAAAAAAAGATGAAATACTATCCTAGATGAAAAAAAATGACTAAAGAGATGTGACAACTAAATGCAGTGAGTAACCTGGATTGGATGCTGAATCAAACAAACAACACTATCAAGGATATTTTATAAACAATTGGTAAAGTAAAACAGATACTAAATAGTAATGTGTTAATGTTACACTTCCTTCCCAAGTGATAATTTTATTGAGGTTTTGTGGGAGAATGTCCCTTTCTTTGGAGATGAGTTGAAATATTTAGGAGTAAATTAATATAATGTTTCCAAGTAATTCTCAAATGGATTAGCAAAATTATGATCAAGAGAGAGGGTGCAGATGTGGCAAAATGCTAACAATGAAAGGGTCTGTGAGATTGCATTATTCTTACAATTTCTCTGTAATTTGAAATTTTTCAAAATAAAAACTTGAAGGAAAAATTTTAGGAGCATGCATTTCCCCCTCAACCTCCCCCCACCCACCCACCCCACCCCCCTGCCCAAGAAAAAAGACAAGAAAAGAAGGTCTTCAAATTGAATACACCTGAGTCTACCCATACCAGCTGTGTGAACTCTGCGCCCCCTTTTCCTCAGCTGCAAAGTGGCAGTGTTGATGTCCAGCACAAGCGCTTCTGTGGGACAATGCAGGCACCATTGGAGTGACACCTGGACCAGGGTGGCCAGCACTGTGTTCTCTATGTTCACATTTGCTCTCCTCCCTTCCTCTGCCTCATCCCTGTTTCACCTCAGGATCCATTAAACTGACCTTGGAGGGAGATTTGCTCAGGATAAATAAGAACAACTATGTGCCCTGTAGAGTGCCCAGTTGAAGCAATATGACACCCTGCGGGGACACTGGGATGCAGGCTGGCTGACCCTCTGAATGTCGAACCACAGGGACAAAAGTCAGAAAAGCATCCACCCACGACTTGCTGGCTTGTGTCATGGACTGGAGCTCAGACACTAGCCAGAGCTTCTCAAAGTGGGGTCCCTGGCCCATCTGAGCAGTATCCACTGTGGTTCGTGTAAAACTGCAGACTCCAAGACCGACTAGGACCCTAATGGGCTTCTCAGCAGGGTGTTGGGAGTGCGCATTCTAACACGTCTTCTAGGTGACTCTGAGGCACACTCAAGTTTGAGCACTCCTGACCCTCACCACAGCCGTTGTGGACGTGCTACCTTATAGCACATGGTCCACTGAAGAAGTGGGTTCCTGTGCTTGAAGCCTAATAATAACATTAAAGGGTTATAGCCACCACAAAGGCGTCCACAAATGGGAGCAAACGGAAATTCAAACCGAGTTGTACATAGAGATAAAAGCAGGAGATTTAGGGAGAAAGCAATGTTTCTCTCTGAGCTTCACCAGCTCCAGACTCAAAGTGTATGAATGAAATCTGCCCCAGCCTTGGGGGTGAAGGGAGCCGCCATCTAGAGCCCCCAAATCCGCCATTATCTGCACATGAGCACTAAAGGGATCAGAGTGGGCTCTGAGCCCCTCCACTCACCACGACTCTGGGAAGCTGCGTAACCCAAACAGTTCCCTCCTCTGACATGTACAGCAAGTGGTAATTCTACAGCGCCCAAAGCTCCAGAAATTCCAATGACCGACTTGGAACTGCCAGTGTCTCTCCAAGCCATGCCCGCTGACCTCTCTGGAGAAGGTCACTCTATTAGATGCCACCTGAGTGAAAGAAGCCAACAGCAGTCACCTGGCTTCCCTGTAGCCCACTGAGGGCTTGTTCGTTTGGCTTGGAAGGTGACTGGGCTCCTCTTTTGAGCCCAGGAGACCAGATCATTTGGCCACACAAGTTCACCTCTGATCCTGAGAATCCTCTATTCCAAACCAACTCCAGCAGGCATTTACCCACAGGGTCTGAGTTATTTTGGGAGACTCCACATCCTGTACTCAGCCCTAGGGAGGGGAAGAGAAGAACAGACAATTGGGCAGTCTCCACCCCCAATCCACCCCCAAATTCAGATTGGGGGCAGAGAGCCATTTGCAACTTTAACTCTTTCCTGGCTCTGGCTGAGACCAAGCCATCCCACATAGAAAAGCCTCAAATGGCAGCATGTCAACCATTGTAATTCAAGAAGGGGGGAAAAATAACAAAGTATAACAGGAGAAAATTATGCGTGGAAAGTGACTTTTAAAAATCGTCTCTAAATATTACAGCCAAAGTGAAAGGATGGAAATTGCATCATCAGAAGAGCATTTTTGTGTGTGTGGTTTAACACTGAAGAAATAAATGATTTTCCCAACTGTAGGACTTAAAGTAATATTTCACCCTTTCAGGAACTCTGACGTTTATTTGGGAGATGAGAATTGAATTAAACTCTTTAGATGTATCGTTTCACACACCAGCACACCAAGTCATTCACATTGGAACCCAGGAAAGGGTAATCTCTGAGGTGTCAATGTTTGCTGCGCCCCTTCTTTGTCTATTGTTCCTTACAGTGTACAAAGCCCCCAGGAGTGGTCTGGTCTAGCATCTGGCCTTGCACAGGAGAGGTGCTGGGTGCAAGGAAAAGAGAAAGGGAGGCAGCAAGGAAAGAGTCTGCAATGATTTTGCCAGGGTGACGAGGGCCTTTTTGCATGGGGAATGTGGTTCATTAGGCTTGAGGTGATAACTCATATTTAAGAGCCATGATTTGTTAGATCTCTCCTGGATTCACTTCCACACACAGTCACTCAGGGCCTAGCATTTGGCGAGAACTGAGCACATCCTGGGAGTGGACAGAAATGAATAATGCACAACCCCTACTGTCTGCCCTTCAGATGTCTTTCAAGGACAGGAGAGTCACACATGGTGGGCACCTGACATCCCTGAAACCAATCAATCTGGGACTGTGAGACCCCCATAGAAGAAAACCTGATGGCACCAGTGGGCTTGTATTTAAATCCTCCTCAGCTGCAGAAAACCACTGCTCTGCTCTTGATGGACACTTGCTTCTTAACACAAAACAACACAACACAAAACAACACAAAACAGAACAAACACAGCCTGCTTTCTCTGCCTCTGACACCCACCTCCTCCAGTCTGCCAGGCCTGCCTTGGTCCTGGCTCCTCACAGAAGCAGTGGTCAGCCCTGGAGATATCACTGATTTCCACTGCCCTAGCCTCCTTGGGACCTGGCTGACCTACTGTCCTCTAACCCTGTTTCCTTTCTGCCACACTTTCTATTTCCTCTTTGACCACATGCTTCAAGCCCCATCTGCTGGGCCCTCAGGCTACCTGATGCCTGACCTGAGATAACTTTATGTCCTCAGACACCTATGGTCCATTTTTGGCTCTTCTGCCCTAACCTGTTCTACTGCCAGTAAGCTCCAGGTGCCAATGGTGGCCTTCAAGACTGCCATCGGACTGATGTTTGGGACTGAAAAGCCACTGCACTCAGAGGGTTTACAACCTCCATAATTTACACTGCAACTGCCAGCGGACAGGCAGTTTGACCGTTGAGATGCATCATTGCAAAACAATTCAACTAATTGGCTTTCCTAGCACCCATTTGTACATCAGACCCCAATGGACGGAGCCCTATTCTCATCAAAGGGCCTTTCCAACTGGCTCTCAGACTGTAGCTACAGCAGAATCGCCTGGTTGGCTTGCTGAGCCACCCCCTCCACCCCCCACCTCTGGTGCTGGAGAACTGAAAGTCAAAAGGACAATTTGTATTTCTAACAGGCTCTCGGGTGAAGGTGATGCTCTGGTCTAGGGACCTCACTTTTGAGAACCCCTGCTCCAGTCCAGTGGTTTTCAAACCCGGCCCACATTCGACTCACCGAGGGAGATTTAAAAACAAACAAAACCACAAATGCCTGAATCTACCCTCCTCCCCATTCTGATTCAATTGGTCTGAAATACAGTCTCGTCACTGGGCATTGTATAAACGCTGTAGGTAATTCTAATGTTCAGCAGGGTTGTGGATGTCTGCTGTTGTCCATTTCATCAGCTGGGCTAGGGGTGGGGAGGCTTCTTTATCCCCCACAGGGACCCTTGAGACCCCCAGGTAAAATATAGAACACACAGTTAAATTTGAATTTCTATGAACAACTAATAATATTTTACTATACGTATGTCCCAAATATTGCATGGATGTTTTTTAATGTTATTTTTTCCCTAAATATGGCATCCCTACCTTTAGACACTTCCATAACACAGAATGAGAAACAATGACCTGCCATGTCCCATTTCATAAATATTAACACCAAGAGTCCCAGAAGACACAGAGGAAATCTCAACCTCAGTCCAGAATTCTTTTCCTTCCATCACGCTTAACTGTGCTAAAGGTACTCATACCCTTTTCGTGTTAGGGGGTTATTGTCAGTTGCCTGGAGGTGACTTCAAAGGGGTAGATAGGAATTCTGTCTTTTCTACTCCCTTTTCAATTCTCACCTCCACCCACCTTTCTGTTGCAGATATCACAGAGGCCGTCCTGGGCTATGGCCATTCTCAGGGCCATATTCTTAAGGCCACCTCAGGGAGGATGTGGGCTGGAAGTGGTACTAGCCAGTGACAGCTGTGAGCTGAGAGCCCATAATTGGGTAACACAAGGACAAGTGGGATTTGGCACAGGCAAAGTACAGGCAAAGCATGTTGGGAGAGGCCCACTTAATTCGTAGAGACACTCGGAATTAGTTGTAAATTCTCTGGGAAGAGATCAAGGCAGCGGCATAAACAGCTCAATTAAACTGTCGGCTCAATGCTCAATGTGCGGTAATGGTCAAAACACAGCCTTTAATCTAGATACAGAGGATTATCTTTCAACCAGTAATGAGATTCCTAAGATTAGTTGTACCTGGGTGGAGGGAACAACAGCTGGCTCAGCGACACTGCAGACAGGCTTGCATGTCAGCATGACTGGGACTTGCGTGGAAGAGGCTGCCTGGGCGCCACAACCCTCCTGGAGCCCCATCTGGATGCTAGGAGGACAGGGAAGATTCTCGTTCTGCTTTCTCGGCTTAAGAGACACGGTCTTTGCCTTTTGCAACAGCATAGATGGACCTGGAAATTATAATGCAAAATGAAAAAAAGCCAGTCAGAGAAAGACAACTACCATATGATCTCACTTATATGTTGAATCTAATGAACAAAATAAATTGACGAACAAAATAGAACCAGAGTCGTGGATGCATGGCACAGACTGACAGATGCCAGAGGGGAGGTGGGTGTGGTGGATTGGACAAAAGAAGGTAAAGAGAATTGCCATCCAAGAATATATATACATAGCACATGGACACAGACAACAGTGTGGTTAGGGCCTGAGGGACAGGAGGGCAAGGTAGGGTGAAGGGAGGCAAAGAGAGAGAAATGGGGAACATCTGTAATAATGTTAATTAAAAAAATAGCCCAGCTGGTATTGCTCAGTAGTTGAACATTGATCTAAACCAGGAGGTCATGGTTCCATTCCCGGTCAGGGCACATGCCAGGGTTGCGCAATAGGAGGCATGCAGGAGGCAGCAGATCAATGATTCTCTCTCATCATTGATGTTTCTCTCTCTCTCTCTCTCTCTCTCTCTCTCTCTCTCTCTCTCACCCTCTCTGAAATCAATACATATATATAATAAAATAAATAAATAAAATAAAAAGGGAGATAATCTGGGAATAGCATCCCAGAACACAGTCAGTCTGACATGTTCCCACTTCCAGACCAGCGCTAATAACCACAAGCACCAGTTCTGAGGCAGAAATGTCAAGCTTTAGCCCTTTGCCATCTTACCCTTCATGATCAACCACTCACATTCACTCACTCACCAAATATTCATTGGGTGCTTACTAGGTGTCAATCACTGTTCTGGATGCTGGAGATACGCAGTCAACAAAGAGGAAAGATCTCTTTCCCATCATGGGGCAAGACAACAAATAAACAAGAAAAATCAATAAAATATGCTGTGTGTGAAATGGGGATGAGTGATACTAATTGTTGAGTGGGGACAATTCTAGATATGTTGCCCAGGGGAGGTCTCACTGAGTAGTGATGTTTAAATAAAACCTGAAGGGAGTGAGGGGTGAGTCATGGAGACAGCTGGGCGCAAGCATGTCGGGCTAGGAGAGCTAGTGCAAAAGCCCAAGGAAGAGGCAGCCTGCTTGGAGCAGGAGAAAAGACAGAAGATGAGGTCAGAAATGTAAGGGGACGAGAGATCAGGTAAGGCCTTATGAGCCCTGTGAGGATTTGGGCATGTATTATTAGGGAAATGGGGATTTAATGGGAAATTTGAGCAGACAGCCATAAACATATTCTTTTAATAGGATCACTGACTGCTGAGACAGAAGCAGGGAAATGAGTAAGGCATACCTGCAATGACACAGGCAAGAGATGAAGGACAGTTGAAGGCAGCTGAGATTTGTGGTAAGATTCTGCATATTCCTTGCTCATGGGTAGCATGGAGTAGGAATGAAAGAAGGTGTCAATGATGACGGATAGTTATGCTTCAGATCTTCATTGCGCACTAAGGACTTCCAAATCTATGCTTCTGACCCAGACTCCTTCCTCCCCTGGGGCCTGGCACACAGCAGGGAACTGACATTAACATTTGGTGGACTGAAATGAAAAAAAGTAGATGAGTCTGTTTGGTTGGTGGTACAATTTTTCCAGGCCTCTACCAATGTATAGTTTACCAGCAGATACTGGAGGGAGGTACAGAAAAAAAAGCTACCATGTCCCCATCTTGATCTAAAGTAAGAAGTTGAGAGAGGGCAGAAACTGAAACAAGGCCATACCGAATCCTTCCAGTAAGAAAACCAGGAAGGGAATGGGAGGGGTGAGAGGGGGACACACACAAAAAAAATGCCAAGAATGATGGACACAGTGTTGGGTTTGTGATGTCAAGAGATTGGGTGCCAATCCCAGCTGTGCCTCTTAACTCAATCTCTTCCCTTCATGGCTCCCAGTTTTCCTCCTGAAAACAGAGAGCTGGGCTCTCTGAAAAGAGAGTCTGTCCAGCTGTAACCCTCCCTGTGCTGGGATACTTTTCCTGCAAGGCCCTGTCTCCTCTAATCACCTGACACACTACTTCTCCAACGTTGTCCTTAGGAAACTCTTCTGTTCCCTTTCAGAATGACTCTGACTCTGAGTCTAGTGAGATGTGTCTCTACTAGTTCCCAAAGAAAAACACCCATGTCTTTTTTGCCTGGTTAAAGTAAATACCACCTTAGGCCTGTTACCCATCTATAAACTGGGAATACACACCAGATTGCTGGGACGCTGAGTAGGGTTAATTACATACAGACTGTGTAGGGGTTAAGCAGATACACAAGTGTGCTGGAAGTTCTTGGCATAATACTATAGTATTACAATAATTTTGGCTTGCAAATTACACCCCAGCCAAGGTATCACATGGAAAAGTGGGTCTGATCCCATGGCCTGCTGAAAGTGAAATGAAAAAATAAGTTGTAAAATATAACGTTTCTTCCTCACCCTTTGAAAAAGGCAGAGACAACGCTTCCATGTGCAACCCACATGCAGGGAACAAATTTCCAGATCCTAGAGAGGACTCTCTTGTCCCGGGGTCACCTGGCCTGTTGCCAAGATCTGCTGATCTTCCTTCCTGAGCCTAGAAGCAGAAATGGGAGGGGAGGGAGCGAGCCAGAGAAGATTTGTGGTTGGTTGAAAGGTGGGACTTAAATGAGAATGTCCTCCAGTTTTTCTATTCGGGCCCCCCTTACTTGCAGGATAATTAAGTGGTTACAGAGCAGCAGAAGGACTTAAAATGTAATTTGAGATATTTAAGTCTAGGAATACCCAAAATAAACATCTTAGCCCAGGTCAACTTCTGGGTCCTGCCACCATCCCCTAGACCAGTGATGGTGAACCTTTTGAGCTCGGCGTGTCAGCATTTTGAAAAACCCTAACTTAACTCTGGTGCCGTGTCACATATAGAAATTTTTTGATATTTGCAACCATAGCAAAACAAAGATTTACATTTTTGATATTTATTTTATATATTTAAATGCCATTTAACAAAGAAAAATCAACCAAAAAAAATGAGTTCGCGTGTCACCTGACATGCGTGTTATAGGTTCGCCCTCACTGCCCGAGACACATCACACACACACACACACACACACACACACACGACAATGAAGGGGTTGTATAGAGGGCGATGGTGTCTGTAATTGTGTGGGTCTGAAACATTTTACTGGATCATAGAAGATGACAGTGCAATCTGACCAAAGAGGGCACAAGCAAATAACTTGATCCGGAAAGGATAATTTGCAGTCTATGCCATGGCTTCATTGTGCGGCTGAGTGGACAGAGCACAGGATTCCGAGTAAGACCCAAGTCTGGGTCCCAGTTCTGCCACTTTGCAACTGTGGCCTCAGGAAGAGTAAGTAAAGGAACAGTAAACAGCTGTGGATCCCTTCCTGTCCAGCCTCAGAGTTTGACCTCCACCTCTAGTGTGGCCAGGGCTGTGTCCCGGCCAAAAAAGCCTCTGGTCTTGTTGCTAGGACAAAGGAAAAAAAGAGACTCTCCGATGCCCATCTATAATATACAGGTAGCAAGTTGAGATTTTAAAAAAATTGTGCTGTAAGATTTCTTAGAGAATTTCTCAGGTTTCAGTTCTCAGACCTTAAGGTAAGTCAAATTCTGGGGCTTGCCCAGCCAAATTCAAAGGAACACCAGCTCTAGGGGCAGTGACCTCATTTCCAGGCAGTTCTAGTCGCTACCTGGAGCATGCCGCTGCCCTGAAAAGCAAGCTGGGCCCCTCCCTCTGCCTCAGTTTCCTCGTTTTTTTATTAATAATCAAAGGACGATCTTAAGTTGCAAAGTAGAGATTAGTGTAAATGACATCATTTCGGAGGCCCCAGAAGGGAGAACTGGCGCCCAGTGTGCCTGGGTGACCTTCTCTGGGCCTCAGTTTCTCCATCTGCAAAACGAGGACCCTGGATTACATGGATTCTTGTCAGCTCTTACAATTTGGGCAGTAAACATTCCCACAGCTCCTCCGCCAGGTAGGCCGTGAACAGGGTTAAAACCGCGACTACCTCAGAGGTGAAAAGGTAAGCAAACATTCCGACCTCTGCTTAGCCTGGCCCTCGGATTGGTGCAGGGCAGTGCCCCCGCCGCCTCCGCCGGCCGCAGCCGTCAGCCGGATTGCTAATACGCTCATTAGCATAGATTGCTCCGAAGATCCGGCACACCTGGCCGGAACCGGAGTCTCCGTCCCTGTAAGAAGCAGGTAGCCGCTCGGTTCCTAAAGGGTCTCTGCACCCCATTTCCTCCGGCGGGTCGCGCTGTAAACTAGAAATGTTCCCCGTTAATCCACCTTTGCACCCTACCCAACAGCGGGGACGCCCGGGGTACACAGCGCGAGGGCCCCCGGGGAGGCGGACGGGTTTGGTCTCCGAGCGTTGCAGGCTCAGGATGGCTACCTCTCGCCTCAGGCGGCGGCGGGCTGAAAACCTGGCGGGGCGGGCAGCGCCGCGGGACCCCGGCGCCCTCAGGCCTGAGCCCCGAGCTGGCGCCGAGGCGACCGCGGGAGGTGGCGAGTGCTGAGGGGCAGAGGTGCGCCTGCGGAGACCCGGGCGCCAGGGGGCGGGGCTTGGGCCAAGGTCTGGCGGCCCGGCTCCCGGGGGGAAGGGGCGGGGCCTGCCGGGCGGGCTGGGGGCGGGGCGAGCGCCGGCCCGGAGAGGGCGGGGCCGCGGCGCGGGGCGGGCTCTGGCGGCCCGAGTGTCACACACGCGGCGGTTCGGGAGGTGGCGGCAGCGGTAGCGGCAGGCGCCGCCGGGACGGGCACGGGAGCGCGGACTCGGGAGGGCGCCGGCTGCCTCCCTCCGTCGCTCGCTTTCCGGCTGTGGGGCTGGGATCGCCCCAGCGCTCCCGGAAAGGAAGAAGGGGGGCCGAGGACGCCGACAAGTTCGCTTAGCAGCCAGGATCCCGGCCAAGGCGGAGGCTGCGCCTCCGACGGGGCAGCAGCGCGCTCCGCGGCGGAGCGCACGATAGAGCGTCCGAGGCGGGGGGCGCCCGGGCCTTTCGCTCTCGGCGGGGCCGTGGGCCGGGATCCCATGAGACGCTCCCGCGAGGGGCTCCAGATCCGAAGCCCCGGCAGCGCGCGGCGGAGGCGGAGGGCGGTGCTGCAGCTGCCGAAGCCCGGGAGCCACCGGCAGGAGGCGGCGGAGAGAACTTGAACTTGGCGTCCGGAGCAGGCGCCCCGGACGCCCCCCGCCGGGGCCGGGGCGCCGAGGGACCTGGGCGGCTGCGCTGCCCCCCGAATGGCCGCGGCCGTGGACCTGGCTCCCGTGCCGCGGCCCTAGGCGGCCCCTCGCCATGGCCAAGTGGCTGAACAAGTACTTCAGCTTGGGCAACAGCAAGACCAAGAGCCCCCCGCAGCCGCCGCGGCCCGACTACCGCGAGCAGCGGCGGCGGGGCGAGCGGCCCTCGCAGCCCCCCCAGGCCGTGCCGCAGGCCTCCGCGTCCGCCTCGGCGTCCTGCGGTCCGGCCGCCGCCTCCTGTTTCTCGGCCTTGTCGGGATCGCTGCCCGACGACAGCGGCAGCACGAGCGACCTCATCCGCGCCTACCGCGCACAGAAGGAGCGCGACTTCGAGGACCCCTACAACGGCCCCGGCTCGTCGCTGCGCAAACTGCGCGCGATGTGCCGCCTGGACTACTGCGGCGGCAGCGGGGAGCCGGGCGGGGGCCAGCGCGCTTTCTCCGCCTCGTCCGCGTCGGGCGCCGCGGGCTGCTGCTGTGCCTCCTCCGGTGCGGGCGCCGCCGCGTCCTCGTCCTCGTCCTCCGGCTCCCCGCACCTCTACCGCAGCAGCAGCGAGCGGCGCCCGGCCACGCCGGCCGAGGTGCGCTACATCTCCCCCAAGCATCGCCTCATCAAGGTGGAGAGCGCCGTGGGCAGTGCCGGGGACCCGCCGGGGGGCGCCTGCTCGGGCGGCCGCACTTGGAGCCCCACAGCCTGCGGAGGCAAGAAACTGCTCAACAAGTGTGCTGCCTCGGCCGCGGAGGAGAGCGGGTCCGGCAAGAAGGAGAAGGTAAGGCGCCCCTGGGCCTCTTCCAGGGCCACTGTGCCCGTGGGGAAGCTGAGGCACTGCCCCGGTTTCCAGTCTCTACATCAGCAGCTTCTTGCTAGGACCCTGGGGTCAGGGCTCCCACGTTCCTTCCTGATTCTGCCCCCCACTCCGCGCACTCCCCGCCCCCCCCGCCCGATCGTCGGCCTCCTGAAAAAATACCCTCTTTCTCTGCTGCCCCCAGCACGTCCCCTCTCTGAGCCCACAGCCAGGTGCCCGCTTCGGAAGTTGCCTGACGAGAAAGCCCCGCCCGGCCTTGCCCAAGAAAGAGACACCCAGCCAGCCCTTCCCGCCCCCGAGGAGGAGTAAAGTCAGAGTCAGAGCTGTCCCGGACTTAAAAGAGCGTTTACTCTGGTCTATCTTTACTCTTCCCCTCCTCCCCCAGCCTATTGATGGGAAGCTGGTCCAGAGCTGGGGAGGGACTCGCCCCGTCTTATGCTGCATTCCTGGCGGTAGATCCGGACCGGCTGTCTCTAAACGTGCATATGTAAATCCCACTGAACGCCCAGCGCTGCCCCACCCCCGGAGCCAAATGCGGGCTCTCTTTTGTGCCGGAGCCAGCTTTTCCGGGAGGGGGTCCGCCCTTCGGCTCCGCTGATAGGAGACCCACCCCTCCAATCCTCACCTTCCGTCCTGACCCTACTTCTACCCCACACTGTCCCAGGGGTGAGGGGGACAACTCAGTGACAACCCTCCGCCTTACATATCAGGCCATCTTGAGTCCCCCTTTGAAGCAGGCCAGTTAATTACAGCCAGACTGGGCCCTCTCCTCCCCTTCACACTTTTGTGAGCCTCCCTTTCCCCATAAAATAATACTTGTTCCATCTTCTGGTGGAGCGCAGTGTTTTGATTACATCTGAGGCCCAGTGTCCTGCTGCGGCTGTCAGGCGGCTGTCCCTCTTGTAAACTTTTGCCCAGTCAGGGTAGGGGGAGGCTGATAAAGAGTGTGAGTTCCTTTTAGGACTGGATGTCCAACCAGGTAGGAGACAGGCTCCTACCTGCCAGCTGGTGCTTGGAAATGGATCTTTTTTGTTTTCCTGTGGGGAGGAGTCGGGTTGCCCACCTTTAATTTTTCTGCCTGGCTTTCTCTCTCTGAGGTCCCAGGTCCCCAGAGCATCCCTTTCCCAGTTGGTCTGCTGAAGACAGCATGGGCAATCTGTGGTGGACCCCACCCCTCCCTGGGGTCAGTTCGGGACCACACCTCAGGAGCATGGACTTTGGGCTTCCTAAGCACCCAGATGTCTCAACTAGATGACAAGAAGCTAGTAGCCAGGTGGCCACCCAGATGCTGCTTTGGGGAAGGCGAGATCTCTCTGTGAGTCTCCGGGATCGTGGGCTTGTAGTTGAACTGTAAGGGGAACAGCAAAGAGGCTCCCTACCACCTTATGCATGGTCCAGGCTTATCTAGGTGCCGACCTGGGAGAACCTAAAATTCCTGGGTGTGGAAGGTGCCAGGAAGGCCCAGCCTAGCTATCAGGAGAGTCACAGCCAAAGGTGCTGGACTCCCTGAATCCGCCTTGTTACTCCATGGCCACCTGCCAGGTAGGCAAATCTCCTTTCTCTCCCGCTGCTTGTCATTCTGCCTACTCACTAAAGGCTTCCTTTATGGCTTTCAAACTTTAGTAAACATTTTTTCCTACTTACAATTAAGACTATGTCAAATACTGAGGAATAATGCTTTATAGCTGGAATGTCAAGTGTGTTTAAGACTTGGCTTCATTCTGCCATCAATTCTTTCCCATGGGTCTTCTTGTGCCCTCTGTTGATCAGTGCTGAAGCGGCCCCTCTAGTTGAATGCTGTGTCCCAGGCTGAAGTGTACATGATGACTCTTGTGATGGCGCTT